AACCTCCCCGGCACCCACAAAACAGGTGGGAGAGTTTTGTGCCACCCCCTTCAAAAATAACCACAAACACCATTTTGATTAAAAACTTTCCACAAAACAGTTGATTTCTACCCCATCCCTGTCTCTGCTCACAGCAGGTTGGGATAACGACGCTGGGAAAGCAACTTGGGTTGGTTGGTTCGAGAGGCAGCAGCCAACTGGGAAGCAGAAAAAGATGGTGTAAGGGAGGGTTGTACCCCAAAATATGGACCCAGTGACCTCAAAATACAGCCATACACACCCCCCCACCCCCCATTTCCCTCCTCCGTCCCTCCTCCTCCAATTTATTTTCTTATAAACATCAAAATCCTTGAGGTTGATATCTCCTAAATCCCCCTGCCCATGGTAGATGACAGGCAATCTGGCATCACCCCAAAAGCCAGAAGCCACCCCCAGCCCTATCCAGCAATACCACCAAAAGATGGTCTCACCTGAGAGACCTGGACAGGGTTGAAGAGTGGGACTGTCCCCACCGGTGGGGGAGATTCATGGGAGCCGGTCTGGAAGGAGTGAAGGGAGAGAAACTTAACAGTCACCTCTAATTTCAGACACACCCCCCATCACATAAATACACCTCCCTCCTCTCCTCACCTTCTCTCCTCCTGACTCCCCACCATCTGCATCCCATGAGCCTTTCATCTCAATGGACACTGGAGTAACAGGAAAGGTATTTTCACTTTGCATTCCTCCTGGTGCATGCAACCAAAAAAAAACCCCCAAAACCCCAAAACAACTTAAGAGGAACAGCTTCTAAAAGGCTGGCACAGAGAGGGGCAGGGGAACCTACACAGCATTTACCAGGGTTTCTGGATGGAGGTTGAGCCAAAGGGCTTGTCCCAGCTATGAGAGGAGTGGCAGGTGTGGATGGTGACATCTGTTCCTGAAACCATATAGAATCACACAGATTAGAAAAGCCCTTTAAGCTCATCGAGTCCAACCATGAACCCAACACTGACAAGTCCCCAACTAACCCATGTCCCTCAGCACTGTGTCTACACGACTCTTCAATCCCTCCAGGGATGGGGACTCCACCACTGCCCTGGGCAACCCCTTCCAATGCCTCAGAACCCTTTCAGCAAAGAAATTCTTCCTCACATCCCATCTCAACTGCCCTGGCCACAACTGGAGCCCATTTCCTCTTGTCCTGTCCCTTGGTCCTTGGTTGAACAGACCCACCCCCACCTCTCTCCACCCTCCTCCAAGGGACTTGGACAGAGCCAGAAGGTCTCCCCTCAGCCTCCTTTTCTCCAGGCTCAACAACCCCAGTTCCCTCAGCCACAAGGGAACTCAGCACACTTGTGCTCCAGACCCTTCCCCAGCACATCCACCTATTTAGAGCAGAAGCTCCTTGCACCCTGAGACACCTCTGCACCAGATACCACACCACACTTTAGGGGTACGGCTTTGCACCCATCCTGTTGGAGAGGCACCCCAAGAGCTACAGGCACCTGAGCTAAGGAGGAGCTACAGGCTCAGGGCAAGCAATCCCTGTCACAATGCTAAACCACCCAGAGAGCTCAGCATTAGGCAGGAGGCTGGACACCAAGCCTGTGTACAGGGTAGGGGGCCACCAGGGTCCATGGGTCCCCCTCTGTTCCTCATCTCCTGCTAGTGTTGGAAGAATATCCCCAAATCCCCTGCTCTTGGACTGTAGGTCATTCTCAACCAGGAGGAAACTTCCAGGGGAGGATCTCACTCCAACATCTGCCTCCAAGCCCACCATCAGCCTGCAGTCAGGGATGTGACACCCTGAGGACTCAGCCAGGACCAGGATAACCACCCATCCATGGCTGCTTCCCCCCGCCTCTACTGTGCTCCAATTAAAGAGCTTTTCCTTCCCTTCAGCTCCTAGAACCTGCCCAAGCAGTGCTGCTCCCAGCTGCTTTCTGCTCCAGTGGAGGGCAAGAGATCTCCACAGAGTTTGTCAAGTGCTTGGAAGATCTCCAGGATCAAAGCAGCTTTATAAATTTACAATTATTATTAATCAAGGATTCACTTCCAGGCTAAAAGGATTCCGTGTCTGATCCTGTCACCACACAGAGTGGCTATGGCCAAGAAGAGCTGTGCAACAGCATGGCCCAGCCACCTGCATCAGGACAGAGGGACAAATAGGGGTGAAGGGGGAGGTGTGTCACCTGTCCCCATGGCTGTAACTGTAGGTGTCACCTGGAGACAGGACAGCCTTTCATCCCCTACCTGTGGTCCTGGTGTGGGGGAGTCTGGGTCCATCTCAGACGCAGCTTTAGAAGCTGTTTCCTTGGTGGGCTTTGACCGAAACCAGCCAAACCACCTGAATCCAGAGCTCTGGGAAATGGAGGTCATCAGAGTCAACAGAAATAGGTGAGAAGGGGAGGATGCCACAGCCACCCAGATGCCTCCCACCCATGCCAGCCAGAGCAGGAACCGTTTTGCCCAGGGCAAGGCAGGCACAGTGGGCACTGGGGACAGTCAAGCTCAGAGCACGAGGGTTCACATCAGCTCTGGTATGCTCACCTTATCTTCACCTGGCTTCACCACCTCTTCTGATGCCGGCTCATCGGCCGTGTCTTCAGCTGTACTCTCTGAGGAAGATGACAGCCGACCTTCCAAGGAGACAGTGGAGCTCTCTGAGATGGTCCGAGCCCTTGCCTTTAACTCCTCCTGGCATTGGAGACAGGATCTGCCACTTGGTGTTCCCAGAGGAGCCACCTCAAGCACAATCAGAGCGTCCCCGGGACTCCTCCATGCCAGGCTTCCCAGATAACATTCCCAGGGACCCCCATGTTCCTCACACAGCAGGTGGGGAGGGACAGGACCCACAGTGGGGTGCAGTGAGCAGCCCACGGGCCCAGAGGTAGGAGGCTGGAGAGGTCTACCCCAACCTGTTCCATCCCCAAGGAGATGGCTGGCACCATGATGGGAGGTTTCCGTGCAAATTAAGGATGAGCCAGCAAGTCCCATGGGCTGGTGTCCTGACTCACCTGCTCTGCTGCGAGGGATGCCTGCACCCCCCCAGGGGACAGTGGGGTGTCCCAGGGCTCTCCAGTTTCTCCTGTGGAGCAAAGGGAAAGACACAGTCAAACCCTGAGGAGCTCCTGCCACATCTATCAGAGGTATTTTCAGTGCTTCTATCATCCCACCCCAGAGCAAGGCTGTGTGGCCCAGATGTGCCCCTAAGAGAAGCAGAAGACCATTGCAGACCAGGGATGGACTAAGCCATGAGGCTGCACTGGTCCATCTTAAGAACTTGCCTTGCACTAAGCTCGAGGTGAAGCTGGTTTCCCATCCAGCAGCACCACCACCAACCCATGGCTGCCCTCCCTTGCTGCTTTGCGCAAGGTCTTCCAAAAATGAAGACCCACCTGTCTGGGGCAGCCAGCGCTGGTGGACACAGTTTGCACACATGGTGCCGGGGCAAGTGTGGCTCCATGTCTGGGCAAGGGTGGAGGGAAACAAGGTGCTGGGTGATGGCAGCGCTGGTGGGGAGCAGTGTTTGAAGTGACAGACATGCCGTAGGGGATCACACTTCCCCAAGGGACACCCCATCCCACAGCTACTCACTGGGGACGGGCATTTTTGCAGAGAAACAAGGCTGGAGCTTTTACCTGCTGGTGGCACCACCTGTGGAGGGGACTCAGCAGAAACCCCTCCTGGAGGGGTGGCCATCCCTGGGCTGAGCACAGGGGGCTGCAGCTCTTGCCGAACGCCGAGCATCGGTGATGCTGCCACCTGAGCAGGTGCCAGGGACTGGAGAGACACGTCCTCATGGGAGCTGGGTCCCTTGGGTGGTGTGGGCTGGTACCACTGGTTATACTGGGAGCCTTCACTCTGTGAAAGCTCATGGCCAGGCTCTCCATCTGCACAAAATAAAAAAATATATATATATAATATATATATACATCTGCTCCTCAGGAGTTCACTCTGGTGTTGATCATTTCATCCGGCTGTTGCACAGAATTCTCCTTTTCCATTATACATCAGCAGGAGCCAGAGGGGTGAGGAGGGACCCTGGGGACCAGGCAAGGGAGGAGGTAGGGCACGGCATGGCAGGGGACCTTTCAGAGGCTTCAAGGATGGTGGATTGTGAAAGACAGGAGGGAAACCTCCCGGGAACGTGCCTGAGCTTGCAAACAAACTCGGAAGAGGAAGGCTGTGGAAGCAAAGAGCCCAAGGAGGAGCAGCGTGTGCCCAGCAGTTCAAAGGAGCCCAGGACCTCCACAGCCTCTTCTTCCACGCCTGCTGCACACCTCAAGCAGGAAAGAAAATTCACCATTTTTTTTCCTGCTCCACAGGAGCACCCACAGATGAGTTTCTTGCTTTAGGCAGATTTATTCAGGGTTGTCTTCTTTTTGTGTTTGAAAGGCAGGTTGAGCAAGTGGGCTTTGTTTTATTTAACACATACACTGCTCTGTCTGATGTCAGTCACGAGGTAGGCAGCATGTTGCTGTTGGTCCCACCTGCATGTCCTGCTTGTACCAGCTCTGCAGCCTCCGGGTACTGGGAATTTTCTTTCCCATCACCATGGGACATGGCCAGGCAGGAGCCAGACCCCGTGGGTCTGAGCCTGGGGACAAACTATGGCACCTCTTGGAGATTATTTGCTTTACCTCCAGCCTGCTCAGGGTTGGCTTTGCACTCATGAGCTGCTCCCACACAGCCTAGAGATACTTGAGATCCATAGGGAGGAGGATGGATGCTCAGCTCCAGTCTGCCCAGCAAACTCAGCTGGAAAAAGTCAGGGAGGACAGCCCAGGCTGTGAGGATGGTGAGGGAGATTGCTGCAACCACATGGATCTCAGCTTGGCACCTTGATACAGGCTTTGTCTTTCCAAGATGAATGAATTCAGCACCAAGCCAGCTTTCTCTGCATGTGAGTCCCTCAGATGGTGACTGTGGATGGCCTTCTCGATGAAGAAAAGGGCCAAACATTGGGAAAGCAAGCTGCAGAGAACCACATGGAGCAGACCTAGCTGCTTGGAGAAGCCATCCCATCATACCTGCGACTTTTTTCCAGGGAAGGATGATCATAGCCTTAGCTCTGACAGCAGAAGGCAATCAGGATTGATGATTCTTTTTTCACTGCCTGGAAGAGCTCTTCAATGAGGAATTTGGCAGCAGCAGGGAAAGCTGATAAGAGGACAGAGCTTGGAGGAGTTTGTCATGTTTTATCCTGTGTGCACCAGCCTTTACTCTCCACCCATCGGTGCCAGTGTCCCCAGCAGAAAGCTAGATCTGAGGAGCAGCGGGCTGTGCCAGGGTGTCCTGTGGGTGGAGGTGGCTGTGAAGCAACACCAAGGGGTCACCAGCCCCTGCCTTCTCCTCGATGGGACATCCCGATGGACACGCTGCCCAGCTAGGAAAGGAAAGCTCTCCCATCCTTCCCTTGACAGCCTCACCTTGATGTCTCTTGACCCTCTGGGTGGACTGTCACTGGAGGGGACTCTTGGGGTCACCGAGAAGCAAAGCAAAGGGGCAAAAGAGGCAGCAGGGGAGGGGACACACCAGGGCTTGACCAGCCAGCGTGCTGGAGCCTGGCACGCAGAGGGATGAGCTCCTTCCTGAATCTTTCGCTCTGCAAGTGTGAAATCCCCTTAGTTCAGCTCCAATTTGCATCCTCAGAGGACTGCCTGGGAACAGGGCTCTCTCCCTCGAGGGTTGGCCAGAGACACGTGCTTCATCCAGCCATCCATCTCCAGCCTCCCTTCTCCCACAGCACCCACGGGGACTCCCGAGGGTGCAGTAATTAGGCTCAATTACTCAGACATTGTATGGAGGACACGAGCATCAACCCCTCAGTTTGCAGCCCATCCTTGTCAGCCCCACACCAGAGGGATGCATCCAGGCTGGAGCAACATTTTGAGCTCTGGTGGGATGTAAGGAGCGAGAAGTGTCTGCTGAGGAACACTCTGGGGAGCAGGGAGCTGCCTCCCAGCCCATGGCACCACAACTCCACGTGCAGAGAAGCTCACTGCAGCCATCGCAACCTGCTGCTTTGTTGTCTTTACCTGCTGTCGATGAGAGCCCTGGCTGAGTGGGTGCGACCTCCAGAGGTAGGTTATCTTCCACCTACAAGGAGACAGAGGGAAAAATGTGGTAAAACATGGAAAAAAGGGATGGCACAGGGCAAAGATTAAGGAAAGCACAAAGCCAACATGAAGCAAAGCATGAGACTGGTGGGTCTGGGCTGTCCCTGCTGATGGCAGGGGGGTTGGAACTAGATGATCTTTAAGGTCCCTTCCAACCCAAACTATTCTATGATTCTCCCAGGGATTGCAGGAGCCCAGGTTACAGGTGAGACCTGTACCAGCATGGTCACAGCTGTGTCCCAGCAAGTGAAAGGGGCTGCAGCACCATGGTTCTGCTGAGAGTGAGCAGGACAGGAAACTGGAGAAAGAAAAGGGCACAAAAACAAAATAGACATGAAACCTGAACAAGGAGCATTAACCCAAGGACCAGACCACAGTTAAAGGACCTGAAAGCACATATGTGCAAGATGATGGTACACCAGTGTCCTCTGCAATATACTCACTGCAGAAAGAGATCTTCACTCACCCACCAGCCCCTGGCTGCCCTCCTTGAGCCAAGACAAGGAGCATTTTGCCCACATGAAGCTCTGTAAGCCCTCACTGCTCACACCCTCAGGCACTGCCAGTCCCCCGATCCCACTGAAGCTGCAGGTCCCACAGCAGAGACCACATCTCCAAGCTCACAGCCAAGGGGAAAGGCATCCAGGTGTCCTGGTTTTTAGCTGGGACAGAGCTTGGTTGACATGATCAGAGAGACATGATCTCCTGAGATCCCTTCCAACCCCTGTGATTCTGGGTTTCTTCTTAGTAGCTAGAACAGCGCTGGGGTTTGGTTTCAGCTGGGATTTGTTATGAGAAGCACACTGATAACATATCGATGTTTTCAGTTGTCACTGGAAGTGAAGGACTTTGTGTTTTGTCAGTCTGCAAGTGCAAGATCTAAGGGGGTGAGGAATATTTAGATTAATAAGCTAAATTGGCATTTGGATATGCCAACAGCCTATTCCATTTCCTACCACTTCATGTTCATTGTATTAACGAGGGGCTCTTGTGGGAGTTCCCTTGCTCGGGCTCTCACTCTTCTGGGATTGTGGTTTCGGGATTGTTGCTCCTCTGGGATCGTTATCTGGGCACAGGCCAGGCTTGGTCAGCAGGTGGTGAGCAATGGCACTGGGTGTCACTCATTTGCATGTTATATTATCATTTTGATATTATTATTTTAAGGGTTTTTTTACTGAAATTGCTCTTATTTCAGCCTACAAATCTCCTTACCCTTATCCCCCCAGTTCTGTCCCCTGAGGAGGGGCAGTGAGCGAGCAGCTGTGTTTGGCTGCCAGCCAAGCAAAGCCACCACACCAGGTAACAGCAGCCTTCAAAACTCCATACCCATCCCCTCGGATTCAGGGCAGAGGAGGAGAATCCTCCCTGCAGACCAACCCCAGCATCCCCGCTCCACCTTACCTCCCACTCCCGGCAGCGGGCTCGGAGCTCTACCAGCCAGTCGGGCTCTAGTGTCTGGTCCTGCTCTGGCATCTCCAGGAGCAGCGGGTCGGAGAGCTTCAGCCGCTCGGCTAGCTGCGGAGCCAGGAGGGCAACGGGACTCATCACACAGCTCCATGGGGAAGAGACCAACCCTCACAGCAATTGCACGTGGCTGGGCACATCAGATCGGGGGAAAACAGCACCAGAGCTGTGCTTCTTCATAATGTGGGTGTAAGAGCAGCACCAGCCTCTTGTGCAAGATTTATTCCCTCTCCTGCATTGCTGGAGAGGTACTGACCTGTCTCATGCCCCACAGAGAGCCTCCCAGCAGGGTTATCTCCAGAGATGTCAAAGTACCCATGTCCAAGATGCTCTTCACATCAGAGAGGCAAGTAACTATTACCATCTTTTTCTCCTCTGAGGTAAACAAGCACCTTTAATCCCACTTGACAGCCAGCTCAAGGCATCAGCAGGTTTGCAGGACACCCCACCAGGAGCCCTGGAAACAGCCCAGCTCCCAGGGCTGTGCCCCAACCCTGTACCTGACCCAGGAGGATGGATGGGAGCCCATAGGGTTTGAGCTGAGGACTCAGCTGGCCATCTCCTCACCTGGCTTTGTGACAAGCATTACCATCACTAATAACCACACAGAAAACAAGCACCAGGCTGGGAGGGACCCTCTGAGGTTACCTGATCCATCTGCCAGCACTCAAGAAAATCCCACATGCCCACGCCAGCCCATGCAGCTTGTGTTTATCGGATTTGCACTTGCAAATCTCCAAGGAGAAGATTTCACAGCCTCCCAGACTTGTCCTGATGCTTAATGCCCTTAGAGCTCGAGAGTTTTTCCTTAATATCAAAGTGAAATCTGCAAACTGAAGCCTCTCAATTCCTGCTCCCACAGAAGCTGTGGGGACAGTCAGGCACCAGCCCCTAAAAGCAGCCTCCTGCGTGCTGGAGGACTCATCCCCTGTACCCCATCCTCCTCCAGCATATCTTGCCTGGAAAAATAACCCCAAGGTCTTCTTCAGAGGTCATTTTCCCCTCGATCTCTTATCACCCCTGCTCTTCTCTTCTACACTTGCACCAGTTTGGCCCTGGCTCCGAGCACAGCATCCCAAACATAGCACAGTGCCCCAGCCAAGACCCCCCAGACCCGAGCATGGGGGGGATTATCACCCCTTTGTCTCACACATGCTGTTCTTGTTCTCACAGCCCAGAATAACACTATAACATTGGATTTTTATTTTTGTTTGTAACAGCATCCTGTTATCAGTCGCTGCTCGGTATTTTTTCCATGCTCCATTATCTCCCCCAGGTCCCTCTCTGCAGTATTGCTGCTGCGTGTTTAATTTCTCCTGCGAGAGAGGGGTCTGTGCTGCCCTGGCTGCAGCCATCTCCATCACATGGAGCTCCAGCTACCATCAACAGAGCAAGAGGCTCTTCTAGGGTGACCCATCCCACCAACCTGGGGTGCAATGAAAAGCTCCCTACAGAGCTAAAGCCCAATCTGGAGAAATTGCTTAGACAAGGGTCCAGTTTTAAGGAAGTTGGATGAGGGGAGATGACACCCAAAGCACCACTCTCCACGTGAGTCTACTGAATTTTCTTTTATCGACCAACTCCTTGGGGATTTATGAAGCTCCCTCTCAGCTTCTTCACACTCATTTATCTTCTATGCTTTGCTACGAGGCTGTCACATCAAGGACCACTAAAACCCTTCCAGAGGTGACTTTGCAGCTCAGCCATCCTCCCAGCACCTGTCCCCATCAGCCATTTCTTTCTATTCACAAAGTTTTTAAAAATAAAGTCTAAACCAGTACAAAACACACTTCCCACCTCCAGGAAGTAACAACAAGACACAACCCATGAGGCTGGAGCCTGGCTCAGGACATGGGTCAGCCATGGAGAGCAGAGTAACCCAGCACCCAACCGGGAGCCTGTGCTGCCAACAGACCCACCATCCCATCTTTTTACAAACACACACGTGTTCCTCCTAAATCAATTGCAGGAAAGAGGAAATTATAAGCATGATTACTCCTAAACGGGGGGAATGTTTAATCCAAAAGCTAATGTGCACTTTGATCCAATATTAATGAACCAGCACCTGGTTGTATATCGTCCCCAGCTTCAAAAGAGGGGAAGTCTTAATCAAACACTAATGTGTATCATAATTTGTAACATAGTCTAAAACATCAAAGACAAGAGCGTCTACCAATGCACTAGTTTTTCAGATGAAAGTGTTTTCTCCCAGGAGAAGCATTATCCCCAGCGGAACAGCAGATCTGAGAGGCTATTAGACAGTAAATAGGTTTCAACGATGGGATGAAGAGAGGCTGCACCAGCCCAGTTTTGGACTATTTCTACAGCACCTGCTTCAGACAGGCACCCCACACCCCTCATCTCACAGCACCGCAGCTTCTGTCCTCTTCCCCATGGAGGAAAGCTCTGAGCAGCCCCAGCACTGCCCCAGGGATGTGCAGGGGGTGGGCAGATCTCCTCTCCTGAGAGCCCAACCTGCTCAGGGGACCTGGGACACTTTGTGTCTCCCCTCCCTGCCCCAGCACCCCACTCATGAAGTGGAGGATCTGGGCTCAGTGCTACCAGCTGGGACAGGATTCTGTTCATTGTCACCCCAAAAGAGCCCCAGGCAGGTAAATGCAGTGGTGGGCTGATGTGCTGGAGGGGAAATGTCAAGCACTCTCACTTCAACTCCTTAAGTCTGTGCCATTTCAAAGTCCAAAAAGCCCCTCCAGAATAGAAAACATCCTGTGCTCCCAAATAACTCTGCTCCTACTTGGCAGTCAACACAATTCTTTTGTTTTCTACCCTAAATCTGTGAGCATTAAGGACCCCATGGAGGTGTTGGGTTTGCTGAGCTCAGCATGGCAAGTACCTCCAGCCATGGGGAACCCTGAGGATGCTTCCCACCACAGCAGGTCCTAAACAGGTATCACATGCTGACAAGGATGCAGAGAGGTGTAGGAGACCAACTGGAAGAGCAATCTGAACGGGTAGTCCCAGCACCATGGCTAACTTGTAATCCCCTGGAACAAAGGACTCTTTGCTCAAGGGTGGGGACAACAGGAGACAAGACTCAATAAGGGAGCAGGGGATGGAGATCTCCTGAGCCTTTCTGAGGAACGTCTCAAACACAAGATGCAAAAACCCTGAAGCAAGACCCTCTGAGCTCTGAAACAAAACTGCCAGCGTGGCAGCAGGGCAGTCCGTGAGGAACGACAAGAATAAAAGGGGAACACAAGCTCCAGCAAACCAGGATTCCAGACCCAACTCACCTATGAACCTCCCATTGCCTGGACCAACATTGGAACCAGGGCTGGTGATATCTGTCTGTCCCTCTCCTCTCTTTCTCTCTCTCTTTTCCTTTCTTTCTCATAACATATGAATCCCATGCAAGTGGTGGATAATAACCAACTCTATACCCACCTGTATCCCCTTAAGCTTAGCTACTGGTGCTGAACAAATGTGTCTATTTACAGATCCATGCTGTTGCACCTTTATTCCCATCAAGGGGATCAATGAATCTCAGTCGTGTTTCCTTCTTTCCTGCTACAGGAAAACTTTACAGGCAGGAATTTGGGATGTGACAGGGGGTACGAGACTCACCTGCATCACTTGCTGGGCCAGGACAGGGTGGCTGGCTGGATCCTGGCCCAGGAGCACAGTGGCAATTTGCTCGCAGTACTGCAGGGCCTGGGCTGGGAGCCCGTGGTCAGCCAGGCGAGAGGCGTAGAGGAGCTTGTACACCTCAGGAGAGGGAAGTAGAGCAGATACAGGTGAGCAAGGAGATGCTTGTGCCCATGGGTCCCCTCTGCCCTGGTACATCATCCCAGTGTGATGAGTCCCATCACCCAGAGGTCACCTACAACTTGGGGACACCCCACCCATCCCCATAGGGCTACACAGCCTTGCTCCCCAAACCACAGTGCTGGCACAAGGCCAGACCAGCCCCGTGCCAGCAGATAGGTGATGAGGAGAGCATGCCAACCCACCATCTTTGTTTATTCACCCAATTAGTGCAGCACCCAAGGCAGCCAGGTGCTTATTTGTAATATGAAAAGCCTACCCATCACCCAGAGAACAGGAAGCCAACCAGACCTAAGCAAGCACCCATCAAACACCGTGCCCCAAAACCAGCCCAAGGTCCTGCCCTGGAGGAACCCTTCATCGCTCCCAGAGCCCAGCAAGGGGATAAGCCTTGTAGAGCAGCCCGAATCCCTGGCTTCAGGGGAATGGATGTACGTTTTGGGGCAGGTCTGAGCTGCTGCACCAGAGGTGCTTGTAGATCTCAGCTACCTGGAAGGGGAGCAGGAAGGATTTGGGCTGTTGTAGATGCTGGCAGTACTCAAAGATTTCCATCCGCTGGATGACCTCTGTCCTGGCAAACTGGGCGAATGCCTGACTGCAGAGGAGAAGGGTAGGTTCAGTAAGCAGGAGCAGAGCTCTGCCCCTAGACAGCTCCACCACTGTGCCAGCCTGCAGCTGGAGAGGCCCAGAGCAAAGCAAAGCTCACATTAAGAGCAGTAAAACCCCACAAACAGGGATTGCTTTTCCATAAAAATGAGATCCTGGGGATGGGGAGAAGGTGGGACACATCCCCATGGCAAGAGCACTGCTTGGGCTCCCTCACCGGTGGCTGCTGCCCAGCAGAGCCATGCGATCTGCCTTCACCCCGAAGTAGCCAAAAGGAATATCTGCCATCAGGTAGCAGAAATGAGCTGCTTCAACGGCTCCCCTGCCAGCTGGATGGGAGGAAAAAAGACAAACACTTAGTCCTGAGAGAGGTCACCACATGGTCAGAATTGCTTTGGAGGCCCCCAGGCTCACATGAAAACCCAAACCCAACCACCCCGCTTTTCCTCCCTGCCCACTCGGACCCTGAGCCCTCCCTTCTCCCAGTTTTTTGTCTGTTTTTCCCCAATTGGTGCTTTCTAGGCCAAGGAGGGGTTTCAGTTCAGTGGTAGGACCAAAGGAGTTTGTGGAGGGCCCAGCTCCAGCTACACCTCTGCATTGTGCCATCAGCAGCATGAAACCCCTGAGGGTCCCCACCACTGGGAATGTCTCAGTCCTTGCAGTCACACATGTCCCTCCTGGGCCCAGTCACTCCAGACACCTCCAAAGGAGCAGCTAAAGGATGTGTTCCAGCCTGACAGCTCCATGGCTCCAGGTGTGCACACCCCATTTCAGCACTGACATCCATCCACACCAGCATGGACGTTGGCATGGTGATGTTGCAGGTGTCCACCCAGCTGTTACAAGACAGCAGGAACCCAACTGCTCACGATGGCCTCAGCTCACCCAAAGTGTCTCCCATGCTGACGATGGCCCGGTGGTTGAGCTCCATGTCTCCAACCTTGTTGGATAACATCACAGCCAGATGGGGCCTCCAGTCTCCCCATGTGGGATCCCCACAGCACTGGAGGGAGATGAGAGAAGGAAGGTGAGCAGAGATGGTGACCACAAGATGGGTGTCACAGGCAGGTGACAAAGCACAGAGGTACACCTCTTGCTCACAGACCAGTGCTGCCTGAGGGATCCTTCCCGACATGAGCTGGAAGAGGGTTTGCAGGGGGTCATTGGTGGCCAGAGTGCTGGTGAACCTGTGAGGAGACAGCAGAGACAGGGCTGCTGTACCAGGACCCCAAACCCTCACTCACCTCCAAGGGCACATCCTAAATACCCCAGGAAGGCAGTGTCCTGAGGGGCTTCCTGGAGAAGGCAGAAAGGATCATCAACCCACCAGGCCGATGATCTGCATTACCTCCAGAGCAGGCATGTCTCCAGGATAACTCTGGATAAAATCTCCTTAAAAGGAATTATGTTGCACAAGACAAAATTCCTGATTGCTCTCCCTGAAGGGATCAACTGATTCCAGCCTAAGTACATTAATTCCACCAGAAAACATTAATACAAGTGTGACAAGCAGCTCAGACCAGGCTGGATCAAGGTGAAGATGGCTCAGCTCCTCCTACCTCAATGGCTGCCTTTGCTAGGGCAGCAAGGGCAAAGCCAAAGACTCAGAACAAATCCACCCCACATCTCCAAGGGATGGCTTTCCTTCTGCTTTCCTGTCCCAACTTGGTTTCTCCTGTCTATCAGGAAGCCTGGAGGACTCAGGCCCATCCAGATGGATTCCCCCTCTGAAAGGGTTAAGCTGAAATCGAAGCTCTTTTTTCAGTGTGCTGGGGCTGAGGGCACCTGAAGGGATAACGGGCTTGGCAAAGCCAGTCACAGAGCATCATACCTTGCTTAGCTTCTCCAACTTACCCAGTGAGCACCCAACTGTAGGTCCGAGGGTCCATCTTGCTGGAGAGGAAGAGGGCATGGCCCCACAGCTGGTTTCTCATGGCCCAGACCAGAGCATCCTGCAGCCAAGGTGAAGAAAAAGGGTTTGCACCAACTCTGCTTCCCTGCCATCCTCCACTGCCAGGGGTCCCTCTGCTCATCCAGCTCAGAGAAGAGCACCAATAACTGCTCTGGTTTTAACCAACACCCTCCAGAAAACTCTTCCATGTTCACAAAGGCCCCTTTATCTTTCTACCTTGAACAATGAAAAGAACTGAGACCTTCATCGCAATATTGTCTTTCCTGGATTGCCAGGTCTGTGCTGCCTGTTAGCTCTCAATGCCACTGCTGTGGGCAGTGCTGGTAAAAGCCTCTGCACCTTGTCTTCACCTGGGGCCCCATCCCAGTTCCCAATGGTGGGAAATCACTGCTGTATATCCTGTTGTACAAACACAACTTCAGGGGTTGATGTCATGACCACAAGGTACCTCTTGACCACTCTTCCCTTTAAAACCTGCCTGGAGAGGCCAAAGGGGCCAAAAAAAAAATAGTCAACCCTGTTGACTGGATGTGTTCTGGATCCCGCTCACCACTTACTTTCTTCCTGCCATAGTAGAGGAGCTTGGTGAACTTCTCCACTATCTGTGCCTGAGTCTCCACAACAGGAGGAACCTCCCCCGTGATGAGGTCCAGCGTCCCTGGCTGACGTGACACCCACTCATCATCCGTCAGGCCGATCAGGTTTGCCGCAGGGTTTTGCCTCTTGTACTTCTCCCGGCACCTGCAGTCTTGCATCAGCAGCTCAGCCACATCCGAGCCCACCATGGACTGCAAAAGGGAAGGGGAGGAGCTGCTCCATGAGCAAAGACTGACAGCACTTCCAGTCTGACACCCTTACACTTATCCTCATCCTAGAACATCTATCTCCCCACCAAGACAAGGCTTGACCACCAGCATGCAGATTTGGAGGGCAAAGGATTCAAAACAACTAGCAAGACCTTCACATCACTCACTCTGAAGACCTTCATCTGCTTCCAGCAAGCAGCCACGGACTAGAATGAGTGTATTTCATTGGGTTAGGGGAATAGTCCCCTCTTAGGTGTAAGTGTTGGCTCCTCAATGAAGGTGGCATCAGTCCCTTTCACAGCTGCTACAGCGTTGGGTTGTTGGTAGCTAACAAGGCTGAAAAGCCACCACAGAAAAGGTTTTGCTCCACATATCCAGGCAGTATCAACCTGATGGGCAGCACTATGGGAATAGGATGTTTTTAATATGCATCCCCCCCTCAAAAATAGCAACTGGACCAAGAGGCACCTAAGGGGCATATAACTTGTCTCACTTCTAAGATCAAAAGGCTCATCCCCTTCCACAGGACACCTACCCCATTCTGCCGGCAGAGGAGGACCAGGAGTTTCCAGAGAAGAGATGAATCTCTGCCTCTCTGTGTTGAGAGATCACAGCTTGTGGCTATTTTCTGCTGGCAAAATGTCATCACATCCACCTTGTGCAGATCTTCCCTACAGCAGAAAAAAAAAAGGCATCAACAGAAACCCAAGGCAAAGCCATCTAGGACATCATTCAGCTTCTCTGATGGGGATGCCAAAAATTCAAAGTGAGAGATGAAGATGCCCAGTGCCAGTGCCCACATACCACATTGGCCACACCAAGCTCAAAAAGGCTTAATTTTTAAAAATTATTATGACTCTCTGCAGATTTCTGTGTTTCAGGGATGCAGAGTGCATCTCAAACCTTCTCTCTGCCCTGCTGATGATATTTTCACCCATCCATCTGCAAAGAAGCTCCATTTGGCTTTGCTGTGCTGCTGTTAGGGCCGTGGACACACGAGGCTGCAGGAGCAGGCACTTTACTGGCAGTATCTTTTATTTAACTGCCATAGTGCAGGGAGAAAGACATGCTCATGACCACATAAACCCTTTGGGTCTGAAACAGAAGCAGAAACTTTGAAGCTATGTGCAAGGCAGGCAGAACTGCTGCAGGCCAAGAAAATCATAGAATCATAGAATGGTTTGGACTGGAAGGGACCTTAAAGCTCATCCAGTCCCAACCCCCCTGCCAGCAGCAGGGACACCTTCCACTAGACCAGGTTGCTCAAAGCCTCATCCAGCCTGGCCTTCAACACTTCCAGGGAGGAGCAGCCACAGCTTCTCTGGGCAACCTGTTCCAGTGTCTGAGCACCCTCACAGTGAAGAACTTCTTCCTAATATCTCATCTAAACCTCCCCTCTTTCAGCTTAAACCCATTTCCCCTTGTTCTGTCATTAGTAGCCCTTATGAAAAGTCCTTCCCCAGCTTTCTTGTAGCCCCTTCAGGTACTGGGAGGTGCTATAAGATCTCCCCGGAGCCTTCTCTTCTCCAGGCTGAACAGCCCCAACTCTCTCAGCCTGTCCTCACAGCAGAGCTGCTCCAGCCCTCGGATCGTCCTCGTGGCCTCCTCTGGACTTGTTCTAACTGGTCCATGTATCATCAGACAGTTGGAAAGAAAGGATGGATGAGACAAGCTCAGCCCAGGGGCCAGGACTGGGGTTGGAGATGCTGATCCTGACTTATTCACACTAACATATATGGAGATTCCCAATGTCCCCTTCGGCACAAGTGGTAACTTCCAGGTCTTCTACCCAGCTTCTGGGCTGCTCTTTTACTCAACAAATGGTTTTCCTCCTTCTGCACACTCCTTTTCTCTCCCTGCTTTGGTTGTGAGTTACTCAAAGACATGCTGGTGTAACCAGTATGATACAGACCCAACCTGATGCAATACACCATGATCCAGCCCCAGGCTCACACCAGATGAAGGTACATATTGAATCTGACCCTGCCATGCTCAACAGCTTCAGGGGACAAAAACCTTCAGGAAAGCTAAACTGCAGGTTGACCCAGGGCTTGAGGCATCCAAAGAGATCTCCCAAAAATTGGTTTTCTGGGACACGAGTACAAAATAAGATCAAACATGCAAACCATACTAAACCCACACCCTGTGAATATTCAAAAAACCATCTCCCACAGTCCAAACCAACCCACACGGCAGCAAAGGGGCTGGGCTCCCCATCTCAACCTAGACTTGGCCTTTTCAGCTGTCTCAAAACCATGGGGACCCCAAAATCTGCCTTGAACTCATGTCTCCTCCCAAAGGAGAGGTGCTCCCAGGCCAGCCATGCCAGCAGAGCCAGTTCACAGCTGCTGGACCTACCGGTACAGCATACCTGGCCAAGGGCCCCGGGAAGGCCTGTAGCTCCTCCAGTTCTTTTGTATCATGAAGGATTACCTAAAAGACAAGAGCAAATTCAGCAGCTGGACTCCAGCAATGAGGCCAGCCCCAGCTGGGCTAGCTAAAAGTCAGTGCCTTGGCCAACAGCACTGGTGAACCCATTCTCTGTGCTGTCTTAAGGTAACCCCAGAGCACAGACCCTAAACCATCACATGGACCCCAATGCTAAGGTCCAGGAAACAAGTGCCTGTTGCGATGGCATCTGCCTCCTTTGGGAAGCAGAGTAGGAGACTGGTCCCCTGAGCAGCATGGGAATGCAGCTCCTCAATGGTAGGTACCATCTGCTAGGACATGCTAGTCAGGTTGACATGCTTGATGGGTTGTCAACCTGAGCACAGGTTGCCAAGTACTGGCACAGGCTGTCCAGGGAAGTGGTTGAGTCACCATCCCTGGAGGCGATTCCCTCATTTAAAAGACACGTAGATGTGGTGCTGAGGGACATGCTTTAGTGGTGGACTCAGCAGTGTTAAGTTTTCAGTTGGACTCAATGATCTTAAAGGTCTTTCCCAACCCAAGCAATTCCATGATTCTGTGAAACACCTGGGTATGGCCTCTGCATTGGAGCACTAATTGGAGAATTATCCTTCAGAGACATGTGGACCACATCTGTCCCTCTCAGAAGGTATCACTGTGAGCAGGTCACAGATGACAAGGGCTACAGAGCTGAAGGAGTGGGACACAGGGCCCGAAGGCTGAAAGCAATGCCCAGGCACAGGCTGGCACCATGCAGACTCCAGTGTCCACATGGGCTGGAGAAAAGATGGCAGGAGGGGACAGGAAGGCTCCTAAGGAGGCTGTTTTGGTGACTAACAGTGTTTGCATCCCTCAGGGAAAAGCATCCACTCCAGCAAGGGGACCAAGGGTGGTCTGGGGCTTACCTCCAGGCTGTGCAGCTCCACATGAGCCAGCCACCCATCGGCAGGGCACTGGGGACACACCAGCACCAGCTGGCCTCCAGCTCCAAAGCACACTGCTGTGTGTGGCAGCGGGAACTTGAGGGGTACCACCGGGGCTGGGGTGGACACCAAGGGTCCTCCTGCAACAACACACAGGCCACCAGGAGTCTGAGTCCCCTCACCCAGCTCCACTATTGAGGACATCACCAGGTCCCAACCTGGCCTCCCAGCTTCAACCCTCCACTGACCCTACTGTGCAAGACGTGTCCCCTAAAGCAGAAGGCATGCATGGAAGCTCCTGCACCTACCAGGGCAGGGCCACCAGACCATGCACCCACCCTCAGCCCCCTGGTCATGCCTTGCACAACCATCTCCAGGAAAGGACCAAGCTGTGAGACAGCAAATCTCTAAACACCAGCCATTTATCTCCTTGTCCTCCTCCTTATCAGAGGGGTCAAGGCCCCATCACACCTCACCTGCTTGTGCTGGGCTCCAGGTCCCTGCGAGCGCAGGGTCATAGTGGTCAGCACCATCACGGATGTATTGGCTGAGCTCGTAGCCACTGGAGCTGAGCCCCGACTCACGGTACTGCAGGAGCAGGCTGGGCTGGCCCGAGGGCTGCAAGGGAGGGAGAAAACACAAACCTGGCTGAGAAATGAGGGACACCACTGCTTTTCTGCTCCCAGGGCAGGGGGACAGGCTCTACTGCTCCATGAAAGTGCTCAGCAGAAGCACAGCACAGCCAATTCCCATCCCTTCAGCATTTCAGGTTCATCATGGCAGGTACTCTGGTCATACTCAACAGCTTTTAAAATAATGGACATCAGACACCAGTCTAGCCCAACAGCTCTCCTAGCCCTAACACAGACTCCTCCACACAGCCAGCAGACGGGGCTTGGGAACCCAAAACCACCTTTGTCCAGGAGCAAAACCACCACAGCAGCTTTGAATTTATTTTCTTTTTAATTTGCAAACACAGCGAGCAGGACAGAAGTGTGATGGACCAGGACTTGGTGGACAGAGCTGACAATGACACATGCAGCTTTCAGCTACCAAGGGAGGATGCAGAAGAGCATCCCACCAAGCCTGGGCCCTCTGTGGGAGCAATATATAGCCCCACACCTGAGGAAACAACAGCCCAGCAGATGGAGAGTTCATAAATACTAATAATTTACTATAACAATCCCCAGAGAGAGTTAAGCACTAAGTGCAATATAACCAAGCAGCCCTTTTCTCCTCAGCCTCCTTCCCAGCTGGAGGAGGGACACAGAAATTGCTCCCCAAATCTCTAGGAGATTTTGTCCTCCACCTTTGCCCATCCTGAGATTACCTCTTGGGGCTGGCCACCAGCCTCCCCCAAATCGCTGCTGAGGGTTTCTCCCCCTGCCCACTCTCTCCTGGCAGCCGAGATGTAGCTCTCCTCATAGGAGTCATAGGTCTTTGTCCTGCACACAGGAGCAAAAAAAGACACCTTGAAGGTCAGAGATTTTGGGACCAACCACAAACCTGCTAATTTTGCAGCTGATCATTGCACCAGGTGATTCCCACCCTTACCTGTCCTGCCCTGAGGGGGTTGTGGCCAGGTTTGGGTGGTAACCTCTGTAGTAGTGCTGGTCTTGGTAACTGGTACTCTTGCTGTAAGGCTCTCCCTGTCTCAGGTCTAGAGAGAGAATCAAGATGCAGTGTTGTCCCTCCAGAGCAACAAGCCATCATGAAGTTGCAAAAGAAAAGCAACGAGTCAGGCAATTTGCCACACACAGCCCATTTGCTTCCAAATTAGCCCAACACATTGGAGGTGTGATAAAGCCCTGCATGCATTCACCAACACCACACTCATGTCCTTCCCTCTTTCCTCCCTTCCCTTTTCTTCAGCACAGAAACTCCACAAACAGCAAAATCGAGGCCACCCTGATCACACAGCACCATCAAGTTCTGCCTGGAACCAGCAATGACACAGGTTTTTAGCCATGGAGATCACAACCAAACATTCCCTTGGGTGCTCTTAGTTCCCACTCACGTTTCCCAAATACAAACTGAGGGCAATGGTGCACAAGGAGAAAAACACCAGCAGCCCAGGAGTGCCCTGGAGATGTGCAAGCCCTGAGAGAAGAATCCATCCTGGAAAAAGCATTGCATTCTCCTGCAAGCAAGTTGCCTCCAGCCCCAAACCCAAGAGACAATCCCATACCTCTGCAATCCTGCCAGGCCACCGGCTGCCACTGGTGGCTTTGGTAGGTGTAGTCATCCCCATAGCTGGCTGTTGGGTACTGCCAGTGGGGGTCTTCATATCCTTGCCTGAAACACAACACAACATACTTCAGCTGAGAAAGAAATGGCACCGCTGCAGGTTCTGGACCTCATCTAGGGTTAGACTCATGCCCTAGATGAGGTCTTTGGATGTAGAAAGGGTGATGGAAACAAATTCAGGTCCCCATGCCCAGATGGTCTGCTCAGCAGCAGGGCCAGAAACTGGTCCAGCATCACATCTGGAAGGAGCAGAAGGTTTGGGTACTTTCCCATCCCCATCTATGAGAAAACTGTGCAATGCAGTTTCAGGAGATGCCAAATTTCAGCTCCTTGGTGTGGACTTGTCATCGGGAGCAACTTTGACTTACATTTTAGGAGATGTCCCCTAAAAGCACGTTATCTGCCAAGCTCTGGAGCTGATGTCTCAGGTCTCCTGCTGCGCTGGAGCCCAGTCCCAGCCTGAGCTGCCCACCCAGCACTCACACACTTCAACCCTTCTCAATTTCCACAGCAATTTGGTCAGCCCCATGCGACACCCCCCTTCCCAGTGTGACCATGACACAACCTCACCACAAACCCCTGCCTCGTAACTCAGAGAGCAATAACTCAGGGAATTCAACCCAAATTTCCTCAAAGCTCTTTCTCAGCACCAGGACCATCCTCCAGCTCACATTTTACCCTTCCACCTTCCGCTGTTTCAGCAGCTGAGCTTGCAAGCTCCCTTTTGCTCCTCTATTAGCTTTGGTATTTTTATTGTACACCTTGCACTTGGTAAAAAAGAACCACACTTCATCAAACCTTCCAGAAGAACACACCTTGGGAGCAAAATAAAGCCTGTAAAATGGCAACCACTGAAGTCACAGCTGTAAGAAGAAATCGGAGCCACAACTGCTGCGCAGCCTTAAATAGAGAAGTCACCGGCTGCTTTAATAGCTGGACATCACCTAATCACAGAACTGGAGGGGTTTGGAGGGACCTCAGGAAATCATCTGCTCTGAGCCTGCAACTGGTGGCCACTCACCACTTTGCCCATGCCATGACAATGGTAGCACCTGTGTCACAAGCCCAGGAGAGTGGTGAGGTGGTCAAATCTTATTTTAAAAGGGTTTAGGAGGAGGGGGCTCAGCTCTCACCTGGGGTACAGCCCATTGGGGTGGCTGCTGTCGTAGTGCTCAGCCCAGGAAGGGGGTCTGCGTGTGTCCCACCAGGGGTGGTGGCCTGGGAGGTGGCTTCCATCCCAGGATCCAGGTCGAGGTGGGTGTCCTGCACGGAGGAGCTGCCGCCTGGGTGGTGGTGGGGGACCATGGTGTGCTTCACCCCACAGCCCCCGGGCTGCTGGCCTCTCCCATGGCTGGGGCAGCCAGGCAGGGGCCCAGGGGTCCATCACAGGCTTGTCAACAAGAACCTCTCTGGTTTTGGGGTGGGAGGGGGGATTAAGTCTCAAATAGCTTTAGTGGCCTGCAAGCAATGAGATCAGTCACAGTGTGTTCGATCAGCGGCCTTTCACCCCCCTCAAATCCCCCCCGTGAAGCCTGTTGTTACCTCTTTGCTTTAAGAAGCCTGCTAGAAACCCACCATCCTTTCCAAAATGCCCAGAGGCAAGGAAACACCACCTCCTCATTTGCCTGAACTTGAAGCTTCTCTTAAAACTCCAGGATGAAATGGTCCATTCTTGAAAGCAAGAGGCATCTAGCTCTCCCCGCATCAAGAGGCAGCATCCAGGGAGCATCCTCCTGCATCCCCAGCCAGCCCTACAAGCACCACCACTCACAGCCCCCCCAAGCAGGTGAGGAATCAGCTTTACCTCTGTGACACGGTGGTGGAACCCCTTTTTATACGTGGTAGGGGAAGAGATATCAGCAAAGGTACGAGGAGGACAAGGAGAGTTATTCTCAAAGAAATGAGTAGGGACAGGGAGAAATGGAGCTTTGCTCACGTGAGCTATGAGATGGGGTGGGAACAGGGATTTCCTCCTGTTCAGCTCCAGCAGAACAAGTTCAAGCAGACATCAGATTTACTGATAACAGTCACACAGAAAGAAGAGCCCAGGGCAACGCATGGGTGAAGCCCCAAATGCCAGTGGGGGAAGCCACCCTCAAGCCCCCTAGGGACAGGGAGAAATGGAGCTTTGCTCACGTGAGCTATGAGATGGGGTGGGAACAGGGATTTCCTCCTGTTCAGCTCCAGCAGAACAAGTTCAAGCAGACATCAGATTTACTGATAACAGTCACACAGAAAGAAGAGCCCAGGACAACGCATGGGTGAAGCCCCAGATGCCAGTGGGGGAAGCCACCCTCAAGCCCCCTCACATCTCCTTTTGCAGCATCAGTACCCAAACTGTCCCTACAAAGGCTCACAAACCTCCCTGAGGTGGGCAGATGGCCAGATGCTGTCTGAACCACTCCTCACCTCTCTCACACTCAAAGTTTAAGGTAGTTGGGGGTAATTTCAGGGCTGGAGGAAGAGACACTTGGGTCTGAACAGAGACAGCTCAGTTTGTGTCCCTTTTAGAATCAGAGTTAAATCCTTGCCCTAAATCCTGGGCACAAGCATCCAGGTACTCATCATTTCAATCCCACTGATGATCCCCCTAATTTTCATCCAGGGGTTCCCACCACCATCCACCCCCCACACACACCTGCTCAGAGGCCACCACGGCCCTTCTTCCGCTCCCTGGGCACCGCTGTCAAAGTCCACTGCCACATGGGCTGCCGGCCGCCGTGGGGGGCAAAGGGCAGCCCCCGCCTCTCCGCCCCAACCAACTCCCTCAGCCGCTCACTCACCTCCCAGGGAGCTGTTTTCACTACTGTTTGCATCCCTCAGGGTCACCTTCCCCATCCCTCTGCCTTCTCTCACCCAAGAGATCACAGAACTGCAGTGGCTGGAAAAGACCTTTAAGATCATTGAGTCCAATAAACCCAAAGCTACCAATTCCACCTCTAAACCATGTCCCTGAGCACCTCGTCTGCCCATCTTAAATTCCACCAGGGAAGGTGACTCCAACACCTCCCTGGGCAGCCTGTTCCAATGCTTGACCAACCTTTGGGTGAAGAAGTTTTTCCTCAGATCCAATCTAAACCTCCTCTGGTGCAACTTGAGGCCATTTCCTCTCATTCTATCACTCATTACCTGGGACAAGAGACAGATCCCCACCTCACTACAACCTCCTGGAGATGGAGCATGTAGCCCTCTGAGCTCAAAAAAAAGCCAGATATATCCCCTGTGGGTTCTTTTTTTAACACCATGAGATAAGTATCCTCCTCTATACCTCCTCGCACTTCCTAAATAATAATAAATAAAACCTGCTGGCTGAGCTGTTGGTTTAATTCAGACCTATGCACAGCTCAAGCAAATAGCATCCATCCCACCAGCCACCACCCAGGGCAGAACTTGGGTAGGATGCAGCTGGGGTCCACCCCAGCACTGCCTCATCTCAGTCCTTATTGTGTAATAACAGCCCTTCTCTATAAGCAACCAGAGATTCCTGCCTGGAGATCCTCTCAAACTCTCCTGGGCTCCTTAAAAACCAAAAAAGGAGTAAATTAAGGCAAATGGCATCATAGAAAATGACAGTAAAAGCCAGATACGAGAGCTAGTGTCTCCCACCCAGCAGCCTAGCCATGTGCCATCTTCTCCCCTTCGCCAGGGAACCACACATGGTTTCCTAACCCCAAAGTCTCCATTTGCCAAGTGCCAGCAGCTGGTTTTCAGTCTGAGGGCAGCACAGAACAACATGGGATGACCAGCAGAAAAATAGCTTTTTTTCCTGTTTTGTTTTGTTTTTTTTCCTCTTTTTTTTCCCCCCACCCTCACAGTCCTGGCTTTCCCTGAGAAATTTCCTCCAAATTCCCTGCACCATGATACCACAAGACTGATTGATTTGGAATTTGCAGGCGGGATCTTATTCATTGCATCGCGGTGGCACTGTCAGGCAAAGCTCTACTTTAATAATGTTGGAAGACTACATATATTAGAGGCTTCAGAGCTTGAAATTTCTTCCCTACTGGGAAAGAAAGAAATTTTCCCTGGTGATCCTAAGAAATATGCACTTGGTCTCTGTAGAATTCGAGGTTTCAAATAAAAAAATATCCGAGCACTGAGAGCAGACTGGGAGAAACGCGAATCAGGGAAGTGCTGTCTTCCTGCTGCCAAGCTGCTTCGGCAGAATGAGATCATATATCTCCTATCCATTTCACAGCTGCCCTTCAGAACTCTGGGAGCCTTTGAACAAAGTAAAAGGTCAGTTATGGACAGGTCAGGTCTCCTGAGAAAATTAGAAAGGATTCCTAGACACCATGAGGATCCCAGTTTTTAAAATATAAATATATATATATCGTCCTTCCACTTGGCTGCTGGCTGATAATTTTAGGTTTCTAGCCAAGAGGTGACTGCTGGATGTTTCCAACCTGTTTTCTAGCAAACATCAATTTGTACTGGGAACCTGCAAGGGTTCAACCAGCATCACATGAAGAGGCTGAGAGCAGCTCCAGCTTCTCAGGCTACTGTTGCCAGCCAGACCTGGGGGATTTGGGTTGTGAGGAGGATTTGGGAGCTTGACTTGTATAAAAGCAGCTGCAACTTGTGATGGTTGTGTTTGAGATGAGTGGAAACTCTGTACTGGTTCATGCTAGGGAAGGAGAAGCACAAAACACTACCAGCAACATCAAGCTTTGAGCAAAAGTGGCTGAAAGTGGACAGCTGGAGAACATCAATTTAAAGGAAAAAAGAGGGAAGTGCATTGGAAGAGGAGAGAGCTGGGGAAGGAGCTGGGAAATGAAAAGTGAAGGAAGAGAAAACAGAGATAAAAGGACCAGATGGGCTAAAAACTGAGAAGGAAAAGGGTAACCCTTTAACTACATCGCAAGAAATTTCTGTTTTAAAAGGATTCATAGTTTTCTTGGAAACCCAAGCTCTGCACCATAGGGCTGCCAACGAGCGTACCAGACCACTGGGAAGCAGGTAGCACACACCATGGATAGCATTTGTCAGAGCTGAAGGGACAGCAATATCTCTTTAAAAATAAAAATCATATTTTTCCACTTTAAAAGGTTTCATTGCTGTTGTCACAGTAACAAGATGAGGTGGAAAACATTTTTCTTCACGCCCTCCGGGTGTTTGCATAGTACGCTGGGGCTCTGCTCACAGCCAGCCCCAGACACTCAGGCCAGTCCCCCCACACCAAACCCAACAGGGAAGAATGATTAGCCAAACCTCATCAGAAATCTTTGTAACCTAAGAGGAGAAATCCAGGTGGCTTCAGTACCTGAAGCTATTTTTTGGGTGATTTATGTTGTTTCTAATTGGTTCTGAGATAAGCTGGTGATTTTTTTTAAATGGTATTAATAGGAAGCTTTGTTCATCTCCAAGCTTATGCCCACTAGAAATGTGAGATATATATATATACACACACACACTTTTGGAGATGTCTTAAGCATCATGTCACAGCACAGGAGAGTTTGAAAGGGTTGGCTACAGTCAAGAGAAAAAAATGAAACCAGCTCGTCTCTCATCACACTTGCGTGGCAGAAGTAAATGCAAGTAGTAAATGAGCTACATAAAATGTGAAAACTCATCTTAAATATTCTTTAGAGGGAAAACACCAGCCCTGAACATGCTGCCAGCATTTAGGACATACAACAGAGTATGGATATGTCACACACAGACCAAGAAAACTAAAACCACCCAGGAAACCCAGGAGCTCAGGTTCCCAGGCAGGCTGAGCACTTGCACCAGCATGGGGAGAGCCCTCATCCTCAATAGCAGCTAATTAACTAATTAGCTTGATCCCTCCTGCCAGGCTTACAGGGGAGGAATGGTAAGAGCCCCTGCTGCAGGTGGGGGTGACATCTGGGGCCTTGCCCAGCCAGGGACATCAGACCAGTGAGAGGAAGGTGGTGGCTCCCAAAGCAGCTGAGATACATCTGCTCCCACCTGCAGCCGCTGCATTAGCACCATCGTGTGGATTGGATCCAGCCAGAGTGACACCACTGCACAACAGTTCCCCAGAGCCAGCTGGGGCACTTAACTTTCCTTCCTTTGGCACCTTTCTTCCCCACATTAAGTTGTTTCCAGTTTTGAGGGACTGAGCCATCCCTCCCACCACACACACAGTCGCATTCAACAACATCCAGACATGCCTATTAATTTTTTGAGACCCAGGCAAGAATATTAATTGCATTCCAGAGGCATGCAGCAAATTAAGAAAAAGCATTTTACACCCCATATCATATCCAGTGAAGAAATAAGACTGCAAAAACCTATTCTTTTTGAAAATTAAAGCATGTCTGTACAGAGTGCTGTACAAGTCCCCAGCCTGGCTGTGATGGAAAGATAACTCCAGGCTCCTGCATGAGCTCCTGTTACAAAGCAAGCCCCAAAAATCTG